TGCACCTTCTTGCCACTAGGCCACCAGAGCTCCCCTTTTTTATTCTTTTTTAAAAAAATTTTAATGAACGTTTACAGAGACTTTGGATTTCCATTCATTCATTATTGCACACTTTCCTCCCTGCCCACCCCTCCCTTCAGTTTGCTTTTCTCTTTGTAAAGTTAAAAAAAAAAACAAAAGCCACATCAAAAACAAAACTCTTTCATTGCTCTACAATTCCCCCTCCAGTTCACTCCACTATGCAGCTTTCATTCTGGACTCTTGCATCTTAACTTTTTTTTTAGCAAAAGACCTTGGAGGACAAGTGACGTCTATGAAAAACCAGAACGTTCTCATTTTTATTCATGGCTGCTTTGTGAACCATTATACAGGATCATTTATCTTTCTGTCCCCTGTTGATGTGCAATTAGGTTGTTTCTGTGGGAGATTATCAATCTGTTTGTTTTACCATCACTCAGCAAAATGTTATCGTTCTTTTTTTTTTCTTTTTCTATGTCTGCCAGTAAATTTGAGGCCTGCATGTTGCTTTTGATGCAGCTAAAGATATCCCAGAGCATGGCCTTTTAACACTCTTCATTATTCATATAAGGTCTTCAGAAAGAGATCCAAGAACTCTCTCCTCTCTGCTCTAATTAAAGGATAAGTTGTTGCCGTTTTTGTTATGTTCCATCGAGCTAGAAACGACTCATAGCTGCCCCTCCAGCCAGTAAATCGTACGGGAGGAGTTGCCCATCTTTCTCCCATGGAGCGGCTAGTGGATTTGAATCACGAGTCTTTAGGATGGCAGCGCAATTCCTTACCACTAAGCCACCAGGGAGATATATTCGTTTATGTAACAAATCTAGTGTGAAGAATTTTGAGAGTCTTTTCAAGCATCCTCCTGACCATCTTGGGGCGTCATGCGCCGGTGACCCAGGGCAGGGACACTCTCGGAACTTACCACATTACACACATTTCGCTTCCTTTTATAACATGTTCTGTCTGCCTCCTGCTATTTAAATTGCTCTCTTAGTCCGACTTCACTAATATCTCAGAGGACCATAGTCTTTCCTCCTATCAACTTCCCTGCTTTCTAGGCTCCTTCCCTTGGTCGACCATCAACAACTTTGACCTCTTCTAATCTCCTGCCCACCCGATTTCAGATTCCCATCTTTGGTATTCTGAACAGTAGACCAATCCAATCATCCTTCCGTTATCCCCTGGCAAACCCCAAACTGCCGTAGAGTTGATTCCAACTCACAGTGACCCACCAACAGAATCCCTGATAATGCACGTTTTCTTTCTTTCTTAAAAAAAAATTATTTTATTAATTTTAGTGAACATTTAGAGATTTTGGATTTCCATTCATTCATTGTTGCACTTTTCTCCCTGCCCAACCCTCCAGCCACCCCAGGTCACTCTTCTCTTTGAAAAGTAAAAGAAAAATTCTTTCTTTGTTATACAATCCCCTCACTACCCTAAGTACACTCCACTATGCAACCTTCATTCTGGACTCTTGTGATAACCATAATACCCTATCATATATCGCTTTTAAACTGTTCTCTCCCTCATCTGTTTCAAGGCAGTATACATAATTTATCCAGTGTTTCTCAGTCTTACCCCAGCCCTGATGTCAGTTCCATTCTACAACAGTGGTACTATGCGATATTTGT